GGGGTCTGTCCCCCCAATATCGGTTTCCCCAACCCCCAGCAATTTAAGGTTGGGTGGACTTCACCCCCCAAATTCCCCCAGCCAGCATGCGGGTTGGGGAATTCTGGGAGTTGAAGTCCACCCATCTTAAAGTTGCTGAGGTTGAGGAACCCTGATCTAGGGGAACTAGACCCTGCCCACCCTGTCGGATTTGGTGGAACAGCAGAAACCCTCGGAGACAGACGGCCCCCCAAGCAAGCTGGCACTGCCACGCAAGGGCAACCCACACCTTGAATTGCGCCTGGACGCGTACCAGAAGCCGATGCACCCACTTAAGCATTTTTTTAAAAAGTTTTACTCTCCCTACCTTACTCCAAGGGATTTGAGAACGCAAGAGAGCAGAAGGTGAGACATGGATACTCCGAGAAGGATTTTGGGTTTCACAAGAATCTGCCCCCACTGCCTCCCCCAAATCTGGGGGATTAATAAAGAACCCGAAGTTTCTTTTACCTCTGGAAATGGGTGACTTTACTGCCTGGGTAGATTTCTGTGTAGAGGAAGTAGCGGTTTAAGCCCAAAAGATCCAAGAGCTGGGTAGCTCCTCGGATTTCTCCCGTCCTGAGAGAGAAGAGCACAGGCCAGGTTGAAGATCAGCTGCTTGAGTTCCTTTAATAGGGACTGATTCTTACCCTAAAAGTTTTAGGCCATGTTCACACAACCTGGTTAACTCGTTTTGCTAAAGGAAGCCACGCAAGCCCACTCGGCAAACAAGCCGGGATCATTCAACACCCCGAAGCCCTTCTCCTGAAGACGGTGGGGAATTTGATCCAAAAATAAATGAGGGCAGTGTTTCTCAACCTTGGCCACTTGAAGATGAGTGGACTTCAACTCCCAGAATTCCCCAGCCCGTTCTTTTGGGTCCCGCAAAATGTGCCTGCTGGTCCTCTGTGCATGCTCTAAAATGCTTGCCCTGCATTTAAGTTATGCTAGAAATAAGCAATTTCGTGAGTCGCTGTGATTTCGGGAATTTAGAATAACCCAGAGAAACAGCCAACTGCTAGCTTTATATGGCTGATTCATCACAAAGGGGGCGTGTGGGGGGTGGCATGTCTATATGGGGAAAGTTTCAAGTGGGCAAGGCCCAGATTTACCGAGAGGCAGCCGCCATGGGGATACCTTTACTCTGCACCTGCTGGAGAACTTCTGCAACTTCGGGGTACAGATTAACAGGCCGTTTATTCCGGTCTTGTACTGAACCATCGCTGGGAAGAATACAGACAAGAAGTGGTTTAGCTTGTTGTCTTTTCAATCAGAAGAGAAAAAAACTAGTTTTCATGGCGCAGGTAGGAATGCAACAGGTGCGGCACAGAAAATCTGCCCTTGTCGAGCTCGGACCCGTGCTAGTTTTAAAGCCACAGGACTGCCCCTTGCACAGCCAACAAGCAACCCGATGGGCCATCTTGATCCCCGTTTCTCTCAACCTTTCCCTCCCTTCTCTATCCCAACTTTAAAACACGCCCCCTCCCCGCAAAAAAGCAGTGATTTCAACATGCTGCAGAAATAGTGAAACTCTCCGCTAATCTCCCAATGCCTGGGTGTTTTTATCCATCTATGAAAACAGAATAGCCACCCATGGACGAGGGTGGGGTTTTATTGAATTTTTGTTTAATGCCGGGGCACTGTTTCATAATTGTGCTAAATCCGCTGCCATTTTTATGATGCTCATTTCAAGAGGCTTGAATTGGGGACTGGGGAGGTGGAACAGCCTTATTTTAAGCAAGTCAATTTAAACGTGGACTATTCCTCCATGAAGCCCTCCCTCCATTGCGTCTGATGAAGGGAGCCGCCCCTCCCAAACGTTTATGCCTTTTAACGAAATGTGTTAGTCTGAAAAAGTGCTACTAGGTTCCATCTGATTTTCCCTCCATTTCTTTGCTCTTTAGGTCAGTGTTTTTCGGTCACAGCAAATTTAAGATGGGTGGACTTCAACTCCCAGAATCCCTGGCCCGCACGGGTGGACTTCAACTCCCAGAATC